GCCAGAGGACATGCTAGTCGTGTCGTCGGAATTCGTGAATCATCAATTGTCGATCAAACCCAATGCAAAACGGGTGCAACAAAAGCACCGAAACATATATGTGATAAAACCCTTGGCCACCGAAGAAGAAACACAAAAGGTGCGGAAGGCATGTTTTATAAAGAGAAGTATGCTATCTCACCTGGCTAGCCAATCCGGTGTTTGTAAAGAAAAGCTCGGTAGCATGGCGGATGTGCGTGGCTTTACCATCTTGAATAGTGTATGCCCAAAGGAAGATCAGGAGAAGACGGCTTTCATGACCCCCATGGGTAATTTCTGTTGGGATTTTTTTGATTTTTACTTGTGATTCACCCTTTTACCCACTATTAGTGATTGTGAGTTTTTTACAATTGAACTCGGGTCTAATTGTGTTTTACTAGAAGACAAGCAGAGACTTGTGGGGGAATTTGATACACTTAGAAAATACACATATTTATTCCCATATTTAGTATCGAATTAGCTTGTTATGTGAAAGAAGTTCGGTTGTTTTTCCAGTTTTACGCTTGGTTTTGTGTGTTTCGATATTTCGGGATATTTAGAAATATGTGGAAGAGAATGAATTAACTCGTCTTAAAGCATGATTGAAAATGAAATTACGACCGAACCTTGTAAAGAGAGGAATTACGGACGTATGCATCCGGTTATGGAAGAAAGTCCTTGTGCATATTTGTCCCGATGAATCCAACTACTAGGTATGCATGGACCGAAGCAAGCAAGCGAGCTGGTGAAGCATGTTCCTGGTCATGGTCATGGTCGGGATGGGTTGCGTTGCTAACCCCTCAAGAGATTAGCACCATCCTAACCTGTGTAATAGCCATTAGATTAAGATGTTGATCCTAAGGTCACAATTAAGTGAAGGATATTTTAGTAATGTTATATCAAACCCTAATATAAAAAAAGCTCCTTTCACCACCCCTCTCACCCACGACCGCCTTTCCATTTCCCCCTCTTTCTACACCAACCGTCTCTACTCTCTCCCTTTTTATCCATCTCGGCGCACGGTTCGGCGACGGGGAGGAAGTGGCGCTCAAATAGATATGCGATGGAGGCAGGTGGCGACGGGGAAGAAAGGTGGCAGGAGATGTCGATAGAGGAGGTAGGCGGCGATGATAGCGATGGAGGAGTCTCCCCATGATTTGTCGACTCTCTCTTTCAATTTTTGGTATTGAGGTCATCGCCAAGACTATTGTGAAATGCAAAAAGGTATATATACCAGAGGGAATAACGGATCGGTATAACCCTTGAGCAGATCCGACACCAGATCTAGGCTCTCTGCCTCGCCTCTATGTTCAAGATCCAGATTTACAATCATCTACTCAACCGCTCACAACTCAACCCTTGTCGTCGCCTCCCTCCTTCCACCTCAAGTGCGCCTCCCACCATCAATGTAGTTTACGGTAGTGATTTTGTATGGTGATTGAAGGAGAGGAGACATCTCAAGTTCTTGTCATTGGTAATCGTTAATTTGACGAATTGGAGGTTGAGAGACGACTATTAATAGTGATAGAATGATCTATGTATAATTAAATCACACTCTTGGTGGTTTAGGTTCGTGTAGTAGTGAATGAGATAGTCTAGCTTATATTTCGGTATTGATCGGTATTTCGGTATATACCAGTCCCAATCTCGTAATCCGTAATAGCGAATAACAATTGAAATTCAATCTCAATCCCAATTCCAAAACATAATACGTGTATTCGGTAATACCAAATATAGACAAATTCGGTATGGTATTCGGTATATCCCAAATACCGGTACCAAACTTCCAGCCCTACCTACCTGTGTTAGTAGTGATTGACCATTTGTTGTAGTCATTTTTTCTCTCTTCATAGTATGTTTTATAATGTATGGTAGTGATTTTTATTAAAAATGGTTAGTCGCTACAAATTAAAAATAATTTAAAACACTACTAGTTACATGAAAATCACTATGAGTTTGTGACCCTCCAAAAGCACTACTATCAGCCTCCAAAAAGTGAAAAAATCCGTCTCTATTAATTAAAAAATTTACAATCACTAATATTATCCTAATATCACTACTATTAGCCAAAATAATTATTGATTTAAATACTAATGAATTTATTAGTAATAATTCCGGTAGAAAATGACTAATAAACAGGGGAGAGATAAAAGAGATTTTATATTTTTATGTATGTATAATTTTTTATTTAGTGAAATACCAAACAAGCCCTTCATTATTAATCACCATCAAATTAAACTTAAAATAATAAACTGTGATTAGAGTAGTTAGTACGTAGTAATTAGCACTCTAACCTCTCCCGGTCATGGTCATGGTCATGGTCATGGTCATGGTCATGTGGACACTACAGCTTGGTCGAATTAAATGGACCAGCTTGGTCTCCACAAATGCAACCTCGCAGCTGAAGCTAGCTGGTCAATTTTACACGCATGAATACAACCAACCTATATTCGGGTGGGTGAGTATAGAATTAGGATTGTCCGACTCAATTGGTTGTGGTCATTCATTTTTTCAATACTATTTTAAGTGACGAGGCGTGATGACTGGACGAAATTACTGTTTTTTGGATGGAGATGGACGGAATGACCATTCTGTTATTCTGTCAAACGTATGTTACGGAAACATGCAAAATAAGAGGTTTGTGACCTTTTGTACAAAATGAATAGTTTTGTAACCTTTTATGCTAATTACCCATGTGCAAAATAGAACATGAGGTGGTGAGTTATCATCTCTCATGAAATGAAAAGTGGGAAATAAATGAATTGGTTAATTGCATGGTTGGTCACTGAAATTACAAAAAGCGTTCATATTTGGTCACTATAAATATTTAAATCCACTTTTGGTCACTAACTTTACAAAAACTGTTCATTTATGGTCACTCTCCGTTAGCTGCCGTCCAACGCCGTTAACGGCGTCCGTTAAGTGATGACGTGGCTGACGGATTTGCCTAATCAGCACTTTTTAACCCCAAAATTGACTGACCCGACCCGCCACGTCATTTAAACCTGCCATGTCAGCTAAACCTAACCAAACCTCTACCCAAACCCGACCAGACTTGCTAACTAAAACCAAACCAAACCAGACCCCCAAAATTGTTTGACTAAAACCCTAATCAAGAACAGAAATGAACCTTACCGAATTTAACTTTCAATGCACAGAGCTACGAGGATGAGCCATTTCCAGGGAGTCAGTACTCGATGCCGGCCAAATCAAGAACAGCATCAGAAAGCTGGGACGAATGCGGTGTAGAAGGAGGTGGAGGGACAATGAGCTACGAGACCGTTTTGTCTGATTTCAAGAAGGAGAAAGGGATCCACTCCGTCGACGATCAGAAATCCGTCACCGGACCCTGCATCAACAACATCACAGTTCTCCATAGTTCCCCCGGCAGTGGAGTAACAACAACGATGACAGCAGCAGAACTCTACAAATCAAGCAGAGGACTAAACTTTGCAGACTTCAAATCGTCATCCTCCTGCAACAACCGCTCCCGCGCAATAGCAGACTTCGAAGCTCAGAATCGAAAGAGCAAGATCCATTCCAACATCGTAGTTCCATTGACTGATTCCCACGCTTCCGTCCAGTCTCAGCCGAGGAGCAAAGGAATGATGTCGTGGCTGTTTCCGAAGCTGAGGACGAAGCCCACGAAGAACGTAGCTACCACTTCGCCGGTGAGAACAGAGTCCGAGGAGGTCTCGCAGGCATTCGGGGAACTGGGTTTGCTGTCGATCGAGAATCTGCGGAGGGAGTTGAGGGAATCGAATGAAACTAGGGACGCAACATTGATAGAAGTCGCGGAGACGAGAGCTTCGTTAGGCCCACTGAGGCAAAAGATCGAACACCTGGAGGGCTACTGCGAGGAGCTTAAGAAGGCTCTGAAATCCGCCACGAGATCCAAAGGGCGAGCCAAATTAATCGATGGGTACTCACAAAACAACAACTCGAATCATCATCCATCCATTCTCCCAGTGACCGACGAAGCAATGGTGGAAGGGTTCCTCCAAATGGTGGCCGAATCCAGACTCTCAGTCAAACAATTCTGCAAAGCCCTAATCTTCCAAATCGAAGACGCGGCCGATTCCCCACTCATCGAAACCCTGCTCTCCGTGCATTCCAACCACTCCAAAACCATCCTCCACCACCTGGAATCCATAATCAACGACACGATGCACCAGGACTTCTAGAACTCGGCGTTCCACAACAACGGCGCGCCGAAGCACCTGGACCCGCAGCAGGATCGGTTTGGTTTGGTTTTAGTTAGCGGGTCTGGTCGGGTTTGGGTAGAGGTTTGGTTAGGTTTAGCTGACATGGCGGGTTTAAATGACGTGGCGGGTCGGGTCAGTCAATTTTGGAGTTAAAAAGTGCTGATTAGGCAAATCCGTCAGCCACGTCATCACTTAACGGACGTCGTTAACGGCGTTGGACGGCAGCTAACGGAGAGTGACCATAAATGAACGGTTTTTGTAAAGTTAGTGACCAAAAGTGGATTTAAATATTTATAGTGACCAAACATGAACGCTTTTTGTAATTTCAGTGACCAACCATGCAATTAACCCATAAATGAATTGTCACATTGCTTCTCTTGATCTCTTCCACGTGGGTTGAGTGAAAATGGGAGAGGAAATGAGTGTCGTGCTTAGGGGTGGTGAGATGGAAAAGAAAGAGAGGAAAGGTTCTATCAAAGGGAAGCATCGTTTGACGCAAACAGTGAAACACAATGTGGAACTAGCAACGCTTTCAGAACCACTAGGTCTTCCGATTGCCGGAGTAGGTTTATAAAAACGCCCCAATGGTTGACTCACAAATGAACAAGGAGCCTGCAGTCACCTAATAACCCGCATACACGCAATTGGACATATGGAGAGAAGAGAACGAAGAGCTGGTAAAGAGTCAGTCGCTGGTGGAATTCGAATACCCATCTCCAAATGCATCAGGGCAAGTTCAAATGTGTCGCTCGTGCATACATACAGTGCAAGTAGATGCTACGGTATATGGAGCAAGAGAAGCGTCTCAGGTAATATAATGGTTTTCAACCGGATTTCACGGCTCAGAAACTCAGAAACTACTTCAACCTGCAATATTGTAGAGTTCATGTTATTTGTTACAAGGCAACAGTTCTACACCTTCAAGTCTGTATTCAAGAAATTCAACAAAACCACAAAACGACGGAACACTTGAATGGCATTTCCACCGGAGTAACAAACAGCCATCAAAACCTGTCCAACAAAAAGTGCTTCCAATTCAAATTTCTTCAAAGGTCTTGCACGCTCAAACCTGCAACAAACACAACAAAACAAATACCATCAGCCACTGATCAACTTATGCACTTTAAGTGAGATGGATTGAGTGAGCAAAACCCAGCAAGAGTCCATCTGAATCAAAGTAATCATCCACACTGTACACTAAATAGCTATAGTAAAAGGTGAAAAGAATCATTACCTGGGGGAAGAGACTGCTTCAACTTGTCAGCCTTCTCGGAGTCAAAAACACACAAGGTGTAGAGGTACTTGGAGCAGCGGACCTTGAACTTCACCACGTCTTTGCTCCTCTTGATCTTCACCGAACGGGCATCCTTCCTCCTAGCTGTGAGGAGAAAATCCTTGATCTCGTGAATCTGCTTCGGCTGTGCAACACAAGCAGAAGAGTAAATACCAAACCAAGCACCCAGATGGCGACAAAGACAATTATAAACAATGATACAAGCTCAAAATGACAAACAGTATATCAAATTCAATAGGTGAGAACTTAGATCACCAACTATAGAAATGATTTAGCACCCAGATGTAACAGAGGCTATCAGCTCTAGGCAGGTTATGCCATTGGATAGATCTGTAACGATGAGTGCCAACTTTCATCTCCCAGACTCGTAACAGTATCAACCAAAATACATTAAGGTCGCTACCTGACTAGAGTATGGGGATTTCAAGCGAACCCTAAACACTAGAAATCCTAACCTAATCTTTCAACATCTGTTAGTTTGGGAGACCCAAACGAGTAAAATAGATCAACACCAGGGTGATAAATTTCCTCAAAAACAATCAAGTTCTCAGAAACATCAATAGAAGAATTAAAAGAAAAAATGGCTACCTCGCATTAAGCCTAAACCGAGAGTAGCATCAAATGCTAAAACCAACCTTTGCTCCGTTAAAATATCAAACCAAATACCCTAAACCAACGAGGCACAATGTAACCCTGCAGCTAGGATTAGAATAACAATTGGCGAAAGTATTAACTATTTAGCACCTAGATGTAGCAGAGGCTATCAGTTCCAGGCAGGTTATGCAATGGGATAGTTCTGTAACGATGGGCGCCAACCTCCATTTTCCAGTCTCGTAACAGTATCAACCGGAATCATCAAGATCGACACCTGACTATAATCTCGGGTTTCATTCTGATCCTAAACCTAATCCTTCTAGCATTCGTATTCTGAGATCCCAATAGCTATTACAGCAGTAGTTCTCTGATGTCGTCTAGCGACTACAGGTACATAACAAAACACAGAACGGAAAAAAAAACTACTCCAACTAGGCACATCCGCCCAATAACCGTCAGAAAATCATGAAACAGACAGAAGACTGCTAATTTGAGAGTAGTTGATAAGCCTTTACCATTATGTTCGCCGAGGAGCTTCCTTGCTGCTGCTTCTGCTCCTGCTCCGGTTGAGGAAGGAAACGATAGGAACATAGAAGTTGCTAAGGGTTAAGATTATATACTACCGACATTGGACTAAACCCTAAAGGCCTAAATGATGGACCTTAAATCTTTATTTTGGGCCTTATTCGTTCTGGGCCTATTTGCCGCAAATCGTCCGTGTTATGGGCCGTCGGTGGAAGTTAAGCTCGGGTTTAATTAGTCGACTGAAGCTGCTCCGATCGCAACCAATATCCCATCAAATCAAGATCAACACAATATATAACTACTAGCGTCCGGCCCGGCCCGTTGGCCGGGTATTTAATTATTAAGTATTTTATTTGTGTTGCTAATTGTATATATATCATATACACATTAATTAGCAATATATATGTTCACAAAGAAATCATTTATCATATTTGTTGATCACGACATAGGTTATAGATATGATATTGTATGATTTGATAGGGCACATTGCATAGTGATAATCACAAATGAAAGACCAAATTGCTAGTTCCAAATCTTATATTTTGCTTGGCAAGTTCCAAATTCACTTCATAAGCACATAATATTATGGGCATAAGTCAAGTACTTCAATAAACTGAAAGCTAAATATCATGAAAATCTTATGATTCCACGATGACTGAAAGAGACAGATTTTTTAAATCTCGCACCAAAAGAAAAGTTTGATAACATATTCAACAAAATTGTTGTAATCCTTCCCACAATAGGTCAAAGAGCCAGACTTCTCCCAATTTCAAAAGTTCATCTCCAAATTTAATTGTTACACACCTAACCCCCAAAATTGAATTGGAACTACGATATACTTAGCTTATATAGCTAAAAATAAAATACAAATGCTATTGCAATTGCAATTGCAATTAATCTCACCTAAAAAGGCTGAATGCATCTAGGAGTTGGGAAAGAGAATTCGACCAACAGAGACTCCAGTAGATTAGAAAGAAGGGGAAAATGTCACTCACATACTCAAATTCGGCAGAAGGAAAGGGGAAACGAAAGGAATTAATTTATGGGTCAATGGGGATAAGGAAGCATAGTAACACGGAAAGCAGGTCGTTTATTAACCATTATGCTTTTTGTTTTGTGAGGATAACAGTAAACAAAACCTCAACAAAGGAAACTACCATTTTGTGAAGAAAAAACAATATGTTTAGCTGAGAATTCTAGAGGCTTTTGAAAATTAAACCTGAAAACAAAAAACTTGTTTAGTAACAATTTTTATGATTTGACCGGAAAAAGCTCTTTTCGATGTCAACTTCGGTATGATTTTACAAAATGTGTACAAAATTAATATATGTAATGAAAATATATAGATAATAAATTGAATCAATCTAAATCAGAAACAATTGTCAAAATAGGTAAACCCAACTTTTTATGCGAGGTTAAACTACCTTTTGGGAAGAAGTTACATAAAATTTGAAAGTAATTAACTACTAAATTTCAATTACCTGATTATACACATACATATGTATTCTATTTAAATTATCGTAATTTTTTAACATATTTGATATTTATTATACATATATAGTAGTTCACGTATTTATATTAATTCAAACTTTTTTTGTTCATTCTATTGATCTATTGTCGTATTTTTTTACACGTATGCAATGTCAGTATATGTGTAAATGTTAGCATGTTCGTTGGAGTTATAAAGTAAATTATTACCCATGGATCACCGTAGATATGAAAACCCGATAATGTATGGGCACGATTTTGATTGTCTACCCAATTTTTTGTGGTATGGGTAAAATACAAACTATGTTAGATAGGATAATTGATATTGTCGCAAACTGACCTCGAAACAGGGGTTGCTCGTGTTCTTTTCAGAGTCCCCATCGAACTTAGCTTGTAGTTGTTTTGGTATGATCTTAACGTTAGGGTGAAAACCAAAACATGATCTATGAACTCAAGTTATAACTTCGAGAGTACAGTTATGTGTGGAGAAATGTATTCACACCATGTAGCGACATAAATTGGTACTTTTTAAATTAATTTTTTTTTTAAATTTTAAGTGCATCATTACCTTACTTATTTAATTAGGCTAATTTAGGATTAGATAATATATATTTTTAAAAGGAAAGAGATTTGAGACTTTAAAAATCCCAAATGGATCTATGAATTTGGGCCATCTCCCGTTTGCGGTCGTGGCAATTAAGATGCTTCCTAGACTAAAGTACTAAACGCACCGACCCATTTAATTGTGTCATTGTTAAAGGACTGTAACATCCTTTTGTGATTAATGAAAAGGCAGCAAATTCAAAATGGGAGAAATCCAACCTATAAATTTGCTTTATGCATTTTATAGATTAACTGATCTTATATTGATTAAGTGCCATATTGGTATTTTTTTTTTATAAAGCCATTTTTGTATTGTTGATCTTGTAGGTGGTAAGTAATTCTGTATTATGATATAGTTATTAATTATTAAGCTAAACCCAGCAATCACGTGGGCAAAATTTAAAGAAGCCCATCCATGTAAAAGTAAAATAACTTGTATGAGAAAGGAAAAAATTCTAAAACATTGGCTTAAAAAATCAAAACTCGTTAATGTAGAAAAAAATAGCGACTTTTCCACCAAAAACAAAATAGCTACTTATGTTTTAGCGGTGTAGTGGGTTAGTGGGTCCAATAAAGAAGGGAAAAAGAGCCAAAACTTCGTAGGCCACTTAGACGAATTGGGGGGGGGGGGGGGGACAAATTTTAGTGGCTAAAATAGTTGAGATGAATGGACAAATTAACCCCTCCGAAATGTATGGTATGAGCAGCGGTGGCTGATGTGGCAACATCTATTTTTTAACATTGGCTTATAGGTATGTGTAGATCATTCGTCCCCCGGCCCGTTGGCCGGTATAGTATAGAACCTCAATATTTATTGTGTTGTAGTCTATGCATATTGGAGTGCAACGAAAAAGATATTAAGCAATAAAGTGGAAGTCCAAATTGTATGAATGCCTTTGCATTCTCATTAGTGAGTGATTTCATTGTTAATAACTCTTTCAGAAGTAGAATCTTTCATGCTAAAACTATTCATTTTCCAAACAGGGAGTAGATTTTGTTGGGGACGTCCCCAGTAAGCAACTCACAAAACCTGTTTTAGGCAAGCTACATTCCATGGTACTGTATGTTTCTTGTATTCCACAATGCACATCCTAGACAAAACACCCTACTGATAATACATTTCCACAATGCACATCTTAAAATAACGACCCGGCTGCTAATGAGTTCCACAATGCACATCTTTATAAAAACATCCTACTGTTAAAGCTGTAGCAAAAACAGTTCATATTTGTAAGTATCAATCTTAAGGCCCATTCTACTTGAAGGCAACAAACTAATTATGATAGCTAAGTTATACTGATAAAGCTCGGTAATACCATGGTACTGCATCTTTCTTCTGTACTACTTCTGTTCCTCATGGTCAGAGTCTACCCCATAATTCTTTTTCTCCCCGATTATGGTAGTCCCTCCAATAGCATCAGTACTTGGTTTAGTGATGTTGCTTTCCTCCAGGATAGGTGCTGCAATTGTGAAGGACTGACCTGATGTCTCACTCAATTGCTGCAATCAGAATAGAAGTATAAGAGAAAGTGAAATAAAGCTGGTAGCATCTTCAAATATATGGAATTGAGTGGATCATGCTCCACGCTAAGCACAGAGTACTCAGCTTGAGGGTTAAGAAAGTTAAACTGAGTAAGTTAAACGTGGGGATTTTGGAATCAGATAGCGTTGGTTTGCCAGCGTGGTGATTGAAATGGCAGTCCCGATGACAACGCTTGAACGGGGACCTCCTTAGGGAAATTGTAAGAGAAAGACCGAGTGGGAATGACGGAAAAATCCTTCCGAGATATGCGGCCTGTTGAGCAGCGACTGTCGTTTCAATTTTTTCCCCCTGACATTCCCTTATAGTTATTTGTAGAGGGGACTAGCTTTTGCTAAACTATATGTTAATCACTTGGTTTATCAATTTTGTCCACGTTTGCCACCAAAAAGGTTTCCTACTCACTTTAAATTTTGATTCATCATTGGTCACCGACAGTTCATTTATCTTAAATTTGACTTAAATGCTAATCTATTATAAGCTTTGGCTCTTAGACAAATAATGTGGCAATTAAAATAAAATAAAAAGATTTTTTTTAATTTGTTTATAATAACCAGAACCATTAGAACTAATAAAAATAAAATTTAATTTACATCATCCCTACAAAAATAATCTATAGTTCAAAAACTTGTCCATGTTGTTGATCTATGAATTACTATACTAACTAGTTTTTGACATGTTATCAGAGCCTTGATAACAATAATCAAAGTGATCAGCTAGTAGCCACAACACTCAACATTCTTCAGAAGTCTTCCGTGTTCAGCCAGCCATAAAAATCGACGTATGCACTATGAATTACTATACTAACTAGTCCATGTTGTTGATCTATGAATTACTATACTAACTAGTTTTTGACATGTTATCAGAGCCTTGATAACAATAATCAAAGTGATCAGTTAGTAGCCACAACACTCAACATTCTTCAGAAGTCTTCCGTGTTCAGCCAGCCATAAAAATCGACGTATGCACTATGTTCCATGCCATCATCAAATTTTCTTTCATAGCATAGCAGCCTCCTCCAACCCCGCTGCGAGGGTGTAGGTTGTCCGAATCGATAACCAACCAGGAGGTTTTAGTCCCAAAGAAATCTCATCCTCTCCAAGCTCCTCTCGTGGCTTAGATATCCCTATAACTTGCATGCATAATTCATTAAGTAAATATCAAGCACTGACCGCCATATATCTCATCCACCTGTACCCAATACAAATGTCGCAACTCGCTTGTCAATGAGGTAATCGGACACTGGTGACATCACTCAGTCGGCTAGGAAAACCACTATCTAGCCATAAAACATCCCAGAAGCTGGTGGAGTTTCAATCCCTAGTACTCCACTAAAATTCCGTAAGGGTGAGTTTGGATGTGTATTTCAAATGTAATGCATTTGTAATACATGTATTTAAAATATGTGCATTTGAAATACATGTAATTT